CTTAATTTCCCGATGCCCCGGAGTCGATCAAAATCGACCATAGCGTATCAAAGCCCTTTACTGTTGCTTTCGCAACTAACAAGCCTGATTGTACGCATGCTTCGTGACATTGTGCACGAAGTCACTTGAGGCTAGGCCCCGTTCTCCATTAACTCTTAGAGGTAGAACAGAGCCTAAATCCTCCCCAGCAGGGCGCCTCGCGCCTACTAATACTCGACGTTTTCCCGCGCTTTACTGACTCGCTGGTTAGTGACGGGAGGTCGGCTTGATTGAGGCTGTTTGGTCTTTATCAAAGAATAATTCGGGTAAAGATGTTTGATGCTTCCGCACGTAAAACATCCACGAATGTCGAAAGCTGTTCGACAGCGCAAAGCTCAGCTTCTTCGTCTCTCTCGGCAAGACTAAGGTCCATTGGCTCTGCCCTATCCATGAGATGAGCATTGTTCGACGAGTTCGATTCGAACCCATGGTCTCCGTAGCGGGCAGCTTTAAAGTTAATCTCTGCGTTCAACGCTATGTTCACTGTATCCTCAAATGTTAAGGGTTTTGCACAAAATACTTATGTTCTGGCAACGCCAGTGCAAAGACCCTCCATTTAAATTGTCACCAAAACCGTTTCAGGTACAGGGTCAAGTTGCATAGAAGCAATGAGAATTCGAAACTCTTGGACATAATCGACTAAATCCTTTTTACCCTGGTGGGTTGACAGGAAGCGTGGTCGCACTAGGATTGCCTGGATAGGTGAAGCAAACACCCAATGTAGCTGCTGTTTTAGCATGTCCCGGATGGAAAAGGCTTCTTTTATTGAGGTGCCGGAAGTGAAGGCCCGCTCCCTGCATCGGCTACCTAACTTTGATAGAGCCAGGCCCAAATTTTGCTGCTTTGACCCAGCAAGGCCGAACTGATGGCAGCATCCATCTCGCAAACCCACACAAGGAGATTGTCTTTCTCTTTTACCTTGAAAGCCTTGACACTTAAGACTAGAAGACGAGCAATTGACTCATTGTCCGGTATTGGAACATACCGAGTGGACACGGAAGATGCCAAATGGTCATGGACCTGTCCAATCAACATGGACTTAAAGTTTAGAATGGCCTCGAGACGTGCACGAAGTGCGTCCGGGCATTGCGCCATTATAAGAGCCACTTGCTCGTGCCCGATCAACTCCGTGAGCTTCTCAAGCGTAACCTGTTGGGCCTCAGAGAGTTTATGGCCGTTTCTGTCCTTGCAGAGGATTCAGTCGGTAACGACTCAGGTGTACATTGACTACAAGTGCTACCAAGTGTAGCGGAGCTACTTAGCACTCCTTAAGTGAGGAAGTATTATGCTCAAAGAGTCTCTTAGTTATAACACACTAACAACAACGTACAGTCATTAGTGCGTACAAGCTTAACAATCCCGGTTCCAAAAGGATTACGATACACAAAATTACACACTGACTAGTCACAACTAGTTAAAAAAGAGTAAGCGCCTTTACAATGCTAATGCTCTTGACAACAGACTGTGCCTACATTAGGCACTTGTGTCCAACAAATCAAAAGTGTACTGAGCTTTACTTATTCTTTAACTACGGCACTAAAACCCCGAAACGTTGTCTGACTGACTTCTACTACATTGCGATCCTATGACAGAAGTATTATCCTTTTTCCCTAAACGATAGGGTGCGGTATAACCGTAAGTATGTGGTATCAATACTGTTCCGCTCAGATCCAACGATCTTAACTTGGTGTGGACACACAACATAGCCGGTTCAATAAATGCCGTGTAAACCTGTTACAAATCTACTTTAAATTTTTTTCGCCGTTGGTACTAAGTTCATCTCAGCATCTGTAGAATCCGCGAGCTTAATGCTGGATCTATTCGTGAACCTAAGCGGAAATAGGCTTTGCATTTTTATTTTGTCTTTTAACATGGTAGTGCTAGGCAGCGCTGTAGTTTAGTAACGCCGTTGAAATTTCGCATGCATGTTTTCATCTGATTAATTGAGCTGAGCGGTAACGTACCTCTTTAAAAGTGTGAATACTGTTTAAATTGTTGGCAAAAAATCTAGTTCCGGTCGAACATCACGGCCATATTTTTATATAAAAAGCACCAAGTATTTTTTTCAAATTCGCTTGCGTGCAAGACGCCCCGGAACGCTAAATTACTTGACAGAGTGCAAGATAAACCACGCCGGAGTTCTGGAGGCTTGTAAATTTTTTAAATGCGCATCGAAGAAATATCACGTTGTGTGCAACTGCCATTTAAAGCCGAATATCAACTGAAGCCAAGAGAAACGAACGTGCGCACTTTAAGTTAAACTTAGTTATCACTTGATTGGTCTCCTTTTTGTAAAGTAATGGCTGCCTTCAAAGATGCTGCTGTTTGATGCTTTTTGTTGACGCTTACCATGGGTATTGCTAATATCGCCAAATTACGAGCGATGATTTGTGTCTTTGGGTGTAATGGAGGGTTAAACATCGATCGGATACTGTCTAGTAATTGTTCAAATAGCAAATGACATGAACTGTACATTCTGTATATAGTGATGGATGGTGGACTCGATACATTATTTCACTTCATGACTTGTTCAACAAATCTAGCAAATGACCGCTAGTTATGCAACTTCCACGACATTGTCGGACTTTCTGCACAGTAGAATTATGGTCGCACCACAGAAGGTCAGTGTTCCATTGCAAAGATAGTTGACAATCTTAATAATGGAAATTCGAGTCATTTACCAATACGAACCGATATGATACCACCAAGCAATTGCGACTGTATTTTCAAAGTGCTACGACGATTGTACGAATAGTAACGACACGATCTTTACCTTTATATGTCATTCTATAAGTATAAATAAGTACGTGCGGTAGGCATCATTTGTCTATGTTTTTTTCAGTTTTAAAAAATATTGAAGTACAATATAATTGACAATTTTTATTTTCAAGCCGGTGGTACTATAATTTTAATTATGTATATATTCTATCCATTCTTATTACTCGCTGTGTTTTTTTGTAGACTAGGGACAATCATTCTTTAAGCCAACATGTTCGGCCCCCGCTTTATACTCATAGCTCTCTAACTAGTACGAATTTAATGCTACTGTTTAAGTATGTGATGCACACAACTGTCATATGTCCGCGTTAATCTCTAGTAAAATGATGTCCTTAACAGCACATGAAAGTATTCTTAGGAACATTTGATTTTTTCTGCAAATTTGTGTCAAGTCGACCGAGAAGATCACAAAAACGAACAAGGAATGCAGTCATTACTTTGTGTCTCTCTGCATGTTGCATATTGCCTCCTCTACTTCATGCTCGAGTCGCATCGCCTTTATGTTCGTCCGATTTTTGTCCGTTCGGTCTTCACAGCTGTCATAAGCACTGTGAGCATTTTGCTTTCGAGACAAAGAGCACGTGTCGACCAATAAATAAATAGCATGTTCTGTTCGACTAAATCTAAGCATTTTTCTTGAAACTAGCAAATGTTCACCTGAGCGTTTCATCGTCCCTTCAAAACAAGTACGTATGACGTAGAATCACACGTCCAAAATTGCGCGATTTCTCGTCGTGGAATAACGTTGGTTCCCCACACTCTATCGTATCGAGTAAGAACAAACATGCATAGTTTTTGTAAAATAGTCAAGCGTCAGTACAGACGGACTAAAAGAGTGGACGTATAACCGCTGGAGAAGTCATACTACGTGAACCGCCAACGTCTCCTTAACATGACGTCACACGAATAATTTATCGATAGGTGCATTGACCTGTGCAAAATCGAAGGATAATATTACAAAGCAATGGTTAAAACGGTTTACATTCGATATTGATACACACTTCGTTTACGCAGACAATTGCGTAGTCGTTATTGCTTTAAATATGGCTTTAAACACGTGCGATATGGCTATCTGATATGAGTGGGTCGTGCTTTGTGCGTTTTTGTCCTTACTGTTTAACCTTAGCACGGATACGGTACTGCTCACGAATTCAGTCGTGCATAAGTCGCATTGTAAAAAGTGCGAATGTCTTCCGAGAGAATGAAGGGTCAGTCTTCTTCTTTAGAGGCCGTAAATTAGTCGCGATGTTTACTCGTAAATTGACAGCGGTGAGAAATCAACATTCTTTTGTACATGCTGTTTCCGAAAAAATAGTGATGTATAAGTTCTTGCGCATCCTCTCACTCTGTAGTTCATGATGGTAGTTGCCGTTCGAAGCGAAAGTAGACGAGGCAGAGTATCCCATCTCTTGCTCAACGTCACATGGTAAATGGACAAGAGTGGTGCTCGAAACTCTACATGAAATCTGGACCACGCGTTTAGTTGCAGAATGCTCTACTGCAAATATGCGTGTTGGCTTCGATCGGCAAATAAGTCTCTCTTTGTTGAGTTAGATTCGACCTCGTAGACTATACGCTTCGGGCGACCCATCATGATTACACAAGAGGTGCCACGGCTCCTTTTACACGATTCGAAAGATAGAGTACATTAGATTAATCAGTAATTGAAGCAAGTTCATAGGACTGAAAAAAATTAAATGGGAACATCGTCCTTAAAGTCACCAATGGGAACATCGTCCTTAAAGTCACCGCTACGAATTACCTGACACGATGTTTGATGAGCAAAGCAAGTGTATTGCTCAGATACCAACGCACTGGCGTGCTACTTTCTAAACTTTGTGTAGGCGAACAGCTCTGAGAGATATGACATTTACCTAATCAATCAGAAGCCTCAAAATTAATTGAATTTTTGGGATGCCAATTAATTTGAGGAATATATTGGGGGTGGTGGGTGGCTAACCAAAAAGCTGGTGGATGGCTAGCCAAAAAACTGGTGGGTGATTTATGGCTCCCAAAACGTTTGAGGACATTTTATTTTTGACCGACCCATACCGCGCTGCGCAAATTTTAAATTTTTCATTCTGATCGCCTTCGGTGTTTTTCTTTTTGCGTCTCCATTGCAAACATATGCTCGTGCTGATTGTGCAGACACCCACACAGCAGAAGATTAGCAGGTCATTTGTCTAACGATAGTCATAAATCTTGCGATCGGTGTTGTCCTTCTCTAAGACAGCGTCCAAGTCGTCCCACCAACGCGGCAGCAAATTTGTACCAATAAGGTGAAACCACGGCGAGAGTTTTCGTACGGAACTTCCAAGAAGTGCTGGCAATTCTGTACGCGCAACCCACTCCACTTGCTCCACCTCGTTTGGATTCAATTTGTCCAAAGACAGTTCAGCGCGCGCAAAGAGGATATGGTCCATCTCGTACTCGGTCCAGTTGGCGTCAGATGAGGCCTGCACTCGATTTTCAGCATGAGCAAGTCGCATTTGTCGCCGAAGCTAGTCGCACATGCTTACTATACCTTGTACATGACTGTGGAGACGTAAGCCAGGTCATCGACGGAAAACGTGGAGGCAGGTATGCCGAGTTCATGTTCGAGCTTACGAATAGCGGCACGCTTTACGCCTACGCCATCTTCAAGCTCACCTTCAGTAAAGAGTGGGTGGCTGTGACAACATCATTTTGTAAAGTAGCGTGAGCCTGATATCACAAGTGCAGAGCTTACATGTATCGATACAAGACACCTGCAGCACGTGTTCGCCCAAAATCCAGGAAAAGTGATCTTCTTGCATGCACGCTTCTGGATTAGCAGCTCGTTTCTCGAGTTGAAGACGAAGACGCTGAAAGCGCGGTGTAGTACGCCATCGTAAATATGCGCTACCAAGTAATAAAAACAGTAATCACGTATGTTAAATTAGTACTGTACTGGTGGGAAAGACATACCCGGACGTCAAACTACATTACAGTGCCAGCTTTACCATTTTTCTTGCTAATGGGACCCACCACCTTGTCCTGCTCATTGACCTGCACAATCTGCTCCTTCATGAGCTCCAATTGCTCGGAGTCAGCTTTGTCCGTTATCTCCTCGAACGTCGCGCGTCCTAATGTTCTTATGGCCGATGCCCCACTATACATCGTCCTTCCCATCAGGGTGCCGTGTGACCGCACAGTTGTCATCTCGTTTCTGTAATAGTAGAGGTTTTATATCTGTACCATGCCCAGTTATTGCGGTACCATTGCTCTGGTACACTCTGTGAAGGTTGGTTCCAAGCGGACAAAAAGTCCGTCGATGAGCAGCTGGCAACTTGTAAAGTGGTTCATGAGTCGCTGTTACAAATTGTGTAGGACTTCGAGGCATCTTCGAGCTGAGCGATATCTAGACTTGTACAGCTATTAACAGGGTGGCGCGACGGCATCCACTGCATACCTGGAACAGTAAATTACGCGTTTCTGGGCGAAAGTGATGCAAGAAATGCATTTTACAGCGAGTCGGCCACATTTTGGGACGCCAGCGGTTGTCCCTGTCCAGGCGATTACGAAGAAGCTAAGCTATATTGTGGTCACTTTCTTTTCCAATTCAGCTTGCAAAGTCACACTGTTTGTCAAAGCCTAAACGATCGGCGCTTTGTTACCACTAGTAAAGCCTATTTATCGTTTACCTTGTCACTCGACGGCGCTCTTTCATTCGAATCGTTGGCCTCGAGCGCCTCCTTGGCCCGATAGATCTTGGACTGTAGATAGAAAGAGCCTCCCTTCGCCGGGTCGTTGGCCTCGAAGTACCTTGTGAACTGCCTCTGTATATCCTCAGTAGACGGCACGACCCCACTCGTGGGAAAGTTGAGGATTTCGAGCGCCTGTTGCTTGGACATTTTCTTTTTGCCCGTCACCGTCTTGGCAGCCACAGTGCCAGCGTTTCCCGAGCGTGCATTGTGAACAGCCTGCTGGTACGCCTGCACGAAGGCCCTTGACACGATGCCAGCACCCATGACCACCACTTGCGCAACAATTCTGCCTAAGGGTCCCGACATGTCTGCGGTTGGTTGTTGTCGCAAGTCGCGCCGGAGTCTGAAAGTAGAAACGCTACGTGTGACGAATCACGACGAGTTTTAGAAATAGATACTACGATATCGCATGTCTTCCGTTCTGTTCCTGTTGCATTTAATAAATTCCATAAATCAGTTATATACGGTTTAGTAGAAAATGCAGTCCTCACGATTCGACCACGATGTCGATGCTTCTTATGTGTTGCAGATCCGCCGGATTCGCGTTCGTGTCGCATGTGCACGATGGCACGTAGTTTCTTGGGTATGGAAAAGCGGGAGAGACTGAGAATTCTGGATAGCTAAGTGTCGCACAGTAGGAGCTGTGTTGCCAGAGGAGTCAATTGTGCGGCAAGCCACGCTGGTCAACCAGCATAAGCTCAAAATAGCTCTCGATTTCCTCGCAGCTCATGCCGAGGTCCAGTTCGCCGTCACATTCACCTTGTGTGAGGCATCATACAACTCGTTACTGTCGAGGGTGGTCGGTGCGATACCCACGTCTACCCATCTGAAGGGAATACAGTCAAAAGCTCTTCAAACAAGATCTCAGATTTGCTTTAGTGACGAGACATCAATGGATCCCTGTATCCTCGTCTGTCATTCGTCAGCTCATGGAGTGCATGCGTCGTCTGCGCCTCCCTTCTCGCTACCATGGTGAACACCGTCACGTTGCGGCTGTCCGCGTCCCAGTCGTGACGAACCGCCTTATCCTCACTGACAAGCTGGTCCCGCTCAAATGTGTGCCCCCCTAACAACGGATTACATCGGGAATGACTTTCATGCTTCTAGCTACTACTTTCTTGATGCAAGCATTTTAAGATCAAATATGTTGCGGACGGGCCGCTGGACGCGGACCCCGGACCCAGCAAGTGTGCTTTGTACAAATAAATTTGTGTAATCGGCTGCACTGCACGTTACAGGCAAGTCTGTCCCTTGACTCATTTAAGAAACGGCGAGATGCGTACTTCGCGTTTCCGGTAAATATTAACGTCGACAGAATTGCGTAAACTGGACCATGTTTGAGTATAGGGAGACCACGCCCAACATAGCTGAGTTGGATCAGAACACAATCACGCAAACAGGACGCACGTTTCGGTTTGAGATTTTGCACAAAATGCATTGGAAAGAGCTTGGAACGTAACGCTGAGAGAGGTTTTTTTAAATTTTCTATTTTATACCTTCACCTGATATAGAGTATTGCATTCGTTTCACCAGCACGTTCTCCGAACGAACTGATGAAAGGTTAAGCCAGTAGAAGTTGCACGAACGGCTACGTCTAATTCTTAGAAACAGGCTCGCAACTTTGCTGGCCTCCCCTCATGTCCTCAGCCGCGAAAGGGCAAAATGAAACACGCCAAAAAATGTGCAATTTTTCTCATGAGCAAGTGACCTCACAGATTGCATTGTAGTCACCGCGCACTGACCCTAGCCCGAATGAGTCCCCTAGCGTTCGTTGGATGCATATGGGCCATGTCTCTCGCAAATGGATAGATAGATTTATGAAAAGGTCGTTTTGTTTTTTTTCAGTTAATGTATAAAAATATTATTTTCTTCTACAAAAAATTATCTTATCGAGTAAGAGCAGCTGATTTTTTTAGTGAAACGGAACCTTTACGTCCAATACAAAAACCAAACAATCGGCGAGTCCAAAATGTGTTTCGCTGATGTCGCATGTCTCGCTTGAACATCATTGATTTTGCACATGCAGCTGTCAATTCTTAGTCAATCAGGCCGTGGGGTTGCGCAGTTGTTTACCGCGGGCAACTGTGCGTTCATACAATGGGCCGTAGAAAGCCGAATAAAACGTCCACCGGGAGACGATCCACGCACCACATTCCTACATGAATGGCAGCATATGCCTGGAAACCGCAGCATTTAACCAGGACTCCTGGTCTTGCAGAATGCGATAGAGAGAGAGGGAGCTTTAGTGAGAAACGACCCACCTTTGCTCCTTGTGAGTCTGGACCGGCCTAACCATTTTTCGACTGGCGCCCTATCGATACCGTCATGGTGTTCACTGGAATCTCGAAGTTGATCCGATTGCAATTGCAGCTCCTGGGCGGTGCATTTAATGCAGAGGACCACGAGCGCCGCCTGCAGCAGCAGCTAGAGAAGAAGGCGGAAAAAAAACAGCGCAAATTGGCGCGCAGAGCAGCCCGGGAGAACCGGCGGGCGCAACGCAAACAGCGCCGGACGCTACTCTCCCCAACGGTCGTGGCCGAGCCAACGAACGAAGAAGAGCGATCGCAGAGTAGCATTGACTATTCCGGCAAGCAGCCGCAAGTACAACCTGCTTCATGTAGCTTGGTCTGGGCACGTACGGCTGAAGCACGTACGAAGGTTCCCGGCGCTATTGGCATTGCAGGTGGACTCAAAAGTAAGCCAAGTGGGGGGCGATGGCACGCCACGCGGGGAAAAGGTCCAGAACGTGTCGATCTAACACCCGAGGAAGCAGAGGTGACCTCACTGTCAGTCTTGCAAGTGGCCAGTAATGAGCACCAGCTCCCGTCGGAGTTCATCAGTGAATATGAAGCAAAACTGGAGCAGAAGCAGCGTGAGTTCTACGACTCGCTTGGAGGATACAGTACCGTTGACGAGGAAGAGGACGATGAGCTACATGAGCTGCTGGTCGTCAATCAGCGTGCGAGCGACACCAGGATTTCTATTGAGTTGTCAAGCACGGATACTAGGAAGGCAGCAGAATCTGTGGAACCAACGAAAACTGATGTCTCAAAGTTGTGTGAGACGCAGGGACAGGAAGAGGCAGGCAGTGCTAGCCCGGGTGTGAACCTCACTGACGTTCTGTCATCCGCATCGAAACCGAGACTCGATGCAATTTTGAGCTTAACAAGGCTAATCGAGACAGACTCTGAGGACGTGGACGTGGATCCGTGTGCCGGTGTAGCATTCGAGGGCAATAGCGTCTTTGATGAGCAAGAGGGGTCGCACAGTCTGTTTCTTGCCAATCACGTGTTTGAAGGACACTGCATTTCGCCCGCACATAGCTCTTCTCTAATCTCGGATCAGAGTAGCTGTGTTACATCAATTGCAGTTCACAAATGTGGAGCCGATCCCGATCGGTGTGCTGTTGAAAATGACGTGAAAGTGGGGGGTGAAAATGAAGTCATAATCAAGCAGTTCGATGAGATAAAGCACGACAAGGAAAGGCTGTTGGGAGTGTCTGTTTTGCTGAACCAAGCCCACGCCGAAGTGCTACCCGAGACGTGTGCTTTATTTTGTAGAGCAGTTTCGGAGGCTACTAAGCTGAACGACACACTGTGTTCCGAATCATCAGTTGAATCTGATTTTTTAGGCAAACTGAATGGTCCGAAGGGTGTGGAAGTGGAGATTAGTGGGACATCGGGGGCTGTGAATATAGTAAAGAGTGGGTCTCGGATCGGGGATCTTGTGGAGCCGCAACGTTTTGCACGTGCAGACCTTTCGGGGCAGCAGGTAAAAGCTTCTGATCTGTCTCCACACTTGACAGTACAGTCATGTAGGATTGCAGCTGGAAATTACTCTCCCGGCATGGTGGACGAATATGCGTGTGCCATCTATAAGAACCTTCGGGACCGAGAGCATCGGTACCACGTCACTGAAGATATATTCGCCGAGCAACAAACCGTTCAGCCGCAAATGCGTGCTGTGTTAGTGGACTGGCTGGTTGAAGTACACCAGCGTTTTGAGCTTGAGGCGCAAACGCTGTACTTAACTGTAAATTATGTCGACCGTTATCTGGCACAGGTCCCAGTAAACATTCAACGTTTTCAACTTGTGGGTGTGGCGGCGTTGCTGATCGCTTCCAAATTTGAGGAGATTTATCCGTGCGATATGGATGATCTGCTGTATATTTGCGAGCGGTCGTACTCCAAGGCAGACCTCGTTGAATGCGAAAGAGATCTTCTTAACGTATTTGCGTTTAATCTGGCCGTGCCGACCGTCAGCAGCTTCCTCGGATATTTCCTGGAGCAATGCGAAGAGGACAAGCTTATCGGGCAACTGGCCAACCTCTTTGCCGAGTGTTCGCTGCTTGACTTTGGCTTCGGAGCCAAGTACGAGCCCTCCATTGTTGCCTGTGCGTGTTTGCTCGCAGCTTCTTGCTATGTGGGGAACCAAGGGCCACGTCTCGTGTGGAACTACCGCCTTGTTGAGCTCACAGGCTATGCGATTGAGACGATTATTCCGTGCACGCAAAAGTTACAGACAATTCTGGCTAATCCGACCAAGCTGACTGCTGTCGCCACCAAGTACAGTGACAAAGCGTTCGGTGAGGTTGCGTGTTTGCCGCTGGAGGGTCTAAATGCATTGCTATGCTGACTTCATGTCACGACTTGATTATTTTAATCCGCACAAGCCCGATGAAGTGAAAGTTACGCTTATGTAATGCAAACAGAGTGCCAGCAAGAGGCTAAGTATTTTTTAAGCAATAATTCCTCTCCAGACATGACATCGTTTTTGACTCGCACCGGAAGATGATGAGCTATGAATCTGAGTCTGCAAACAGTAGCAGACATACGGCGCGTACGTCTTGCGCTTTGGACGATAATGTTACGCTTGCTACTCCCAATGCGTGTTAGTTAACGTCGCAGGCAAGAAACAGTAGGCTGCACGATCATGTGCACACCACACCAATGCCAATCCGTGTCTGATTGCCTATAAGCCGTTGCTTGCCGCTTCGCCAAAGAGTTCGTTGATGACTTCATAGTTAATCCTTCGGCTCTTTAATTTCTGTTAAACAAACGCAAATTAGAGGGGTTTATCAACTAAATTTCGGGCTCGACCTGACAAATGCTCACATAGATGGCGTGTCGCGCCGTGTCAGGCGGTGGAGCATTCACATCCGGAATTTTCTTTCTCCTTTTCTTCTTCGGGGCACCAGGTGCTGCCAAGCCAAGCAGCCTCTTTTGTTCCTGGAACACAGCAGCAAGCACGATTTTAACATAAGCCCACGAGCACTAAACTGATGGCGATATGCATAGTTGACGTACCTGCTCTTGTATGAATTCCTTATTCATCTTCTCCCACAGCAGCTTTTTCTTTTCTGCCTCCTCTCGTGTCAACAACAATGAGTTGATTTCATCGTCATCTAAGTCCGAGAACGTGTCCGCAGCTTCTTTCTCAGAGTCTCCTTTTTCATCAGAATTCTGCCCCTTCACCCGTGTCTCATCACTATCTAAATCGCACGCATCGTCTTCATCCTTGTTTGAACCACTGCTAAATCTTGCCCTCCTCTTTGTCTCGTGTGTCCCATTGTCAGAGTCACATGACCTTCGTCTTTTTTTCGCTGCAAACTCTGCTCTGTTTTCAGCTGAAGAATCTAAACTAGTACCTTGCCGCGTTTCACCTTCGATATCGTCCAGTTGCTTTTCCTTTCCTATTCGGCTCAGATTTGCTGCTGTGCTGTCCTCTTCAAGTGCCATCGTAAGATCGCGCTCGATCGTCTGGTAGAATTCTGCTTCGTCGCGCTTGCGCATTATGTAACGAGCTGATTTCTTGCGCACACGTAGCAAAACTTCCTGAGCTGCTAAACGACTGGCACGATTAACAATCTGGTCATTTGCATTGTCAAATCCGTAGTCAATGTCCTCATCATCATTTTCACCAACTCTCTCTGCGTCAACCACCAAACTTCTCGTGCCAGTAATTACGCCACGACCGACAAGGAGCGTTTCCACTTGTTTACTTTTATCGTACACGTCGCTTGTCAAGCGTAGCGACATCTCCTCATCCTTCATCCACTGCACCTTTTTGTTTGATAAGCCTTTGGCCAAGACTGTGCCTTTGTCTTCATTATCATCGCTCTCGTCATTTTCATTTCTTCGTCCTCCTGCAAGTCTCTTCCATTCCCTCTTTTCTGACGGCAATTTTTCCGACTCAAGTAGTAGCATTTCCATCACTTCCTTTTCGCGGTGACGCTGGAAACTAGGAGGATCGCACTCGACGCGCGACATCTCGAGCTTTCCTACTTGATCGTAGGTCAATTGCGCTGTCGGAGTGAGCGTGAACTCGTACAGTCGCTGCTTGAGCGTCCGCTCTCCTATATTAACGACGTCCATCACGTCGTGCAGACTACACATGACCGACTGCGAACGTGCTGCAATGAGCAATGCCGCTCCGCATATGCCCGACGGGCGGCGGCCAGTCTCGATCCAATCGCGCTTCATCGTAGCCGTAAGACGCAGCGCCGTCGTGGCAATGCTGTGCGTCTTCCCTGCAAAATTGAGTTGCGAGGCGAAACGGTGGATGTAAAGCGACGGGTCAATGAGCGGTAGATGGATCTGCAATAGTTTGCAAAACTTGAGAAAAACACCTCCTAGCACATAAACGTTGATCTGGAGTTTGTCCGAAAAGTCGATTAGCAAGTGCGGCGAGCGTTCCCGTCGGCATACGACATAGAGGCAGGCGGCGATGACGGTCTGTTTCTTTCGCCCGTGCGTAAAGTTCCGCTGCAGCGCCAGCGCATAGAGCCGGAAGGACGAGTCCACGTAATGATCCCCGAGCCTCAGCAACCCCGCGATGTGGCGGATCGTCTTCTTGCCGTTAGCGAGCGTGTTGGCGCGAGACTCCGTACCGTAGTTGCGACCGCTGGTGCCGATGTTGCCGTACGCTTTCGAGGCCGTGGCCGACACGAACTGCCCCACAGCTGAGTGCGCCCCGCCACCCGATTCTCGGAACTCGACGGACGACACGATGTTGTTCTCCTCGAGGATGGTGCCGCAGCTCACACAGACAGCCTCGCCGCTCACATCCACCACATCGATCTCGGTGCAGGAGCACGTGGGGCAGATGCTGTTGGCCATGGCACGCCGCGCAATTGTCTCCAGCGCTTTTGTTGGAAACACCTTCTCGCTAGACTTGCGTTTTGTATGGGTGTCGCCTCTTTCGTAACACCCAGCATCGGTCAATATTGTGTGAACACATCAATCTGGTGTGGCGCACCAAGTGGCAGTCGCGCCGCACAACGAACTCACTCTCGACCCACCGAGCGACGTCATGGCTACGCCCAACTTCCATGCGCCCAACCAGGACATGCCACCAGCGGGCGGCTTCAAGCCCTTCCCATACGTCAAAAACGGCCCTGCCACGCGCGGACCACCAGGATGGTCGCTCTTTCTCGGCACGTTCCTTGTCACGTCTGTCGGCTACTATCTAGTGGGTCAACACAACAAGCACCATCGTGAGGTGGCGAGAGAAGAGCGCGAGAACCGCATCGCGCTGCTGCCGTTCCTCCAGGCGGAGGCAGACGTCGAGTATCTGGAGCAGGAAAGGCACATCCTGGAGAAGGAGCGCCGGGTCATGAAGAACGTACCTGGCTGGGTGGCTGGTCAGTCGCCGTACCACTCGGGCCGCTACCAAGCGCCGCTCTGGGCTCAGAAAAAGTAGATCGGCAGGCTCAAAGTCTAGAGCTTAAGCTGCCGAAATGTAAGAAGAAGCGTTACAAGACCGTGTGGAGGACATTTTAGCTTGCGTCTGGTTGAGGTCGACATCAGTAAGTAACGGGAGAACGCGTCGCTTTTGTTCTTCAGTTTTTTTTTGGTGCGGTCCTCTCTCGACAGCCTAGCAGCGAAAAATGCTTGAATCATTCGTAGCTCAACAACGCTGGATTCGTTAGCATCATTGCAAAAGGTGGAGGGAAACATGCAGAAGCTTCAGGTTTGTACTGGGTAAAAGCTAGCCAGTACGTAGTGGATCATAGTCCTTCGTCCATCTCGTCCTCAATTTCCTTGGCAAGCTCTTCTTCCTGCTTCTCACGTTCCAGACGCTCTTCAGCGCTCTCAAGGTCTTTCTTGTAGGCGTCTGGCGGATAACGCATGGCTTTGACAGCTTCGTTGTGCACGTCCAGGCAAAAGTTGATACGTCTCTGGAAGGCTGTCTGCGGATCTTTCGTGGTGTACACGTTCACGGTCTCTTTCAGTTGAAGCCAGCCGTTCTCATGGTCGATCACGGCGTCAATTACACCATCCCGAATCGCCTTGGCACACACAAATTCTGCGTTCTGCGCGTTCTCCAGAGCGAGCTTCTGGCAAATGTCCGTGAACACGATCCGCGAGTACGAAGTGCTAATTTTGCGCAGACCCGTCTTGATTACATTGTGGCGCAAGCTGATCGAGCACAAGATGTCATCAGTAGCGCTTTAGCTGATAGAAGTTCGTCTGACTTACCGAATGATCAGCGTGTAGGTGTTGTCAGCTTTGAATGCTGCTCCATGTTGTGACAGAACCACGTTAAATTCCTCCAGGTTACCCACGCGGACGGCCTACAATCAACAGCATAAACACGTCATCGTACCCCTAGGCTGAATCAATCAAACCAAGTCAGCGTAGTTTGCGATCTTACATTAGTGAGCTGTAGGTACGGTGCTAACGCCTTGCGGAGCTCGTCCTGATTAAACACGTCACGCTCCGGCACTTCGCCCATAAGCAACTGGACAATAATAGCGAGCTTGTACACTGTGCGCTTAAAGCCATGCGCCGTATTGGCCGGAGCTTTACGGATAGACTGCATCAGCTTTGTGTACGACTCCGTGTACTCCAATTGGACCGCCTGAATTCTGCCGACATAGTACAGATAGCGGACAAACTGATTGTTTGAAACCGTCTCAGGAAACGTCGTTTTGCTCACAAACTTGTAGGCCTGTTCGTAGAGATTGTCCTTCAGGTAGTTGCGTAGCAACAAGTTGATTAGTGTAGCCTGTCCTGCTTCGTCGTAGCGCAAGCACGACGTGCGATGCGCGCATAAAAGCGTGTTGCGAATACCTGGCAGATCTTGGCCAAATCTCTCATGGATATTCGAGTAGTACGTGAATACCTTGGCTTGGATCAAGTCCAGTGTGCGACAATTGAACTGCTGGCATCGAGCCACCACCATGTCCACCGTGGTCAATGCCATCTGGTCCATATTGTACTTCATCAGCGCTGCCAACACATAGAGAAACAGATAGATTTCTACTTCAATGAGGTCCAACACAGGTAGCAGCACTACAGGCATGTGGACAGCAGTGCCAGTCTCCACTTCTGGCGACACGTCCACCATGTCCACATCGTGTTCCTTGCTGATACCAGCATTTGCCACCTCTACAGCACGCAAAGCCTTCTCCTCGATATGAGCCAGAAGTTCGAGCAGCACGGGCTTGGATACGTTCTGCGCCGGCAGCAGCTGATCCACGGCTTGCTGCAGCTGCGCCACTGACAACGTCTTGCGCAGTTTACTGGTGGTGCGGAGGACGCGCGGTATCTTCTCTTTGGCGTTAGTCTTTACCGCCGTCTCGAGTAAGTTGATGGCTCGTTTCAAGTCTTCATACACGAGCATGTCGCAACAAGTTAGACTCAGGCCTAAGTAACGAGTCATGGTGCATTCATCTAGCTATATAATCACCTGCATAGACAAGCGCTTCTTGAGCCGCTACCTCCTTGGAGCTGCGCGGAAGTGTCGCGTAGGCAGGCGTCTGCGAAAATGTGGTCTGTGCACTCATTACAACGAGAGGGGGGTGGGGGGCGTGTTTTCAATAGATTTACCGCGAAGGGTACACGCACCGGTCGTTGGTAAAGCCATTTGCCTCGGTGATTTGTTTTGGCCAATCAAAAGGCGATATATCAATCCGAATCTGTTGTACTTAATTTAAATTCTAGTGGCACCATGCTTTTAATTTCCAACCCTTCTGCTAGCTTTATTCGCATTTGCGGTGATGCAATTGCTAAAGAGCGATGATGTAACGGGGTTACACGCGGTTATTTGAACCAGTTATGTTGTGTGTTTACACTAGTAAAGATTGGTGGATCCGAGTGGCACAGTCTTGGTACCATGTACTTACGGTTTTACCGCACCTTACCGATCAGGGATAATGGATAAGACTTCTGTCATAGGATCGCAATGTAGAAGTCAGTCAGACAAGGTTGTAAGGTTTTATTGCCGTAGCTAAAGAATAAGTAAAGTTCGGTTCCCTTTTGAATCGTTGGACACAAGTGCCTAATCTAGGCATAGTGTGATGTCAAGAGCATTAGCCTTGTGAAGGCTTTTCCTCTTGTTTAACAACAAGTGACTAGTCAGTGTGATATTCTGTGAATCGTAATCCCTTCGGAACCGAAATAGTTAAGCTTGTGCGCACTAACGACTGTACGTCGTTAATGTGGTATAACTAAGAGACTCTTCGAGTCTAAGACTTCCTCTCTTAAGGAGCTTTAAGTAGCTCCGCTACAGATGAGCAGCGGTAAAAAACACATATTGTTAGCCTAAATGTAGGGCATAAATGACGTGCTAACATTATTGCGGACACTGAAATTTCGTTATGGAGGCGTGCATACGCATGCAATATAGAATGTTTGTGAATCCTTTTGCTTTCCGATTCAGGAGATCGGCCGTGCGTGTAACAGGGCGCCTCCGTTACATGATGCTTTACAGAAGGTGAATATCAAGTATGAAATATGTGTTGGGGCAGATATCACATAGTCTCAACATTAGCTTAAAAAATCACATTGTGATACAGAAGTTATACACTCCTCATTGGTTTATTTAGGTTATTGATATCAAAAATATAGCCGAGCCACGACAGAAGAATGCAATGGCTGGTGAGCAGGTAGTTACAAGACTTGTTTGTATTTAAATATGGAATTGTTAAATGCACGCCTAATAGTTGTTAAATGTACACCAGTTTTGTCTGGCGTAACCGACCGCAGGCTCATATTTGTAGCGAGGAAAATCAGAAATGATGGACAACTTGTTCAATGAAATGCTACTATTAATTATGCGACCAGCCGCAGCTCGTATTTACTGACAGAATGTTGAATGTGTGGTTGCGGAGCGAATCTCAAGATATCCTTAATTCAGTATAGTGTATGCTGCCTCCAAGAACAAAATAATGACATGCATGATAGCCTTCGTATCTCCACGCAAAGCTTCCATCTCTTTTACATGCTCACCTTTTTCACTAATTATATCCATGCTACTGCTAACAGCGCGGAGATGAGCACCACAGGAACTGCGCATTTGTGCAAGCGATTCCTGTAACTAATTTTGAATGAGCTGCAGCCCAAAATTGCCGCTTGCACCTGAAAGGTCGCTCTTGTTGGCTGCTGGCACCAACGCACGTACAAATTTGATTAAATGCTGCGCAATTGTAAAGTGAGTCACCCTAGTCTCGCTCTTATCTTTCGCGGAAATCATCACACACTAACAGGTTCTCAATCTTTACCTTACCGCCGAGTACCTGCCGTATCCACGTGCTCGTTGGGCGTCCGTGACAAATTTATGGCGCTTCTACCAAATCACGTGGCCCTCCAGGCCAGAAAGTGGATGACAACTCATGTTAGCAGATAGTACACCTAAGCCAAGTCGACACACATCACGTATACAGGGCCTTCAAGAACGCGATCGTTGCGCACAAACTTGCCAAGCAACATCGACTGCCAACTTCCGATTGACCAACAATCGTATGATTAATTTTTCGCGTCTGAACACGAGTACAAGAAGACCTCATCAGCAAGTATATATCAGCAAAAAGGCATGCTTCATTTATCGCTACGTACGTCGTCCTACTTAGTTAAAGAAGGGACTATCTCCTGATGTTCAAGCATGGACGCGCGAAAACTTTTCGATATAAGGACGTGCTTTTAACAACATCGATTATAAGTTTCAAAGGAGGCCTTTTAGCAATTTTGGGGCGTGCATCTAGCAATTACCTTTTAGATGAAGCTAAAAAAGAGTAAATAGGATCTATTAATATATTGGCAGGAGATTAACTATACTGATTACGGCTGTACTTTAACCCTTTTCTCATGTTCAAACCTTCCTCTGCACAAAGCGGGTACACAAAGCTTCGAGGTACCTACTACTCTTTATTCAGTGTAAGCAGCTTGTACTGTGACAATACAAGCATCCAAAGCTACGTTGCACCCAAAAGCACTCTGTATTACGTTCTACAATTAGGAACATGTTCGATGATGAAGCGAAAGACTTTCATCCAACGCAAGAGAGCTACTCTTATTTAGTCAAATCGATTGAAAAGCCGTCGAATGTTCGGGCTCGACGATAGAGCAAGAAGCCGTAGGTGCAATGCTGTTCGCTCGGGGTACAGACGTTCAACACGTTACCATTGTTAAGTTCGGTGAACCGAACTTGGACGCTGAGTAAGAAAGGCATCCTTGCTTCATCAACAAAGGACCCAACAGACAGATCTATTAAGAGAACAGAGTGCTCAAAAGTTCGAGCTGTTAAGACAGCAGAAGGCTGCTGCTACCGGGTCGATTAACACACGTTGACCCGAATCGCTGAAATTTACATCTCCAAGTAAAAACGAATTAAAGAAGACTCTACGTTGAGTTATTTCTTAACCCAAAAACGCCAATAGGACTCGTCAAATCGTCGATGAGTAAATGCAGGTCGCATTCTCTCAGTAGGACTTGGCAGGACGTGCGAAGACTTGAGCTTTGGTCCACAAGCTTCACGAACCATATGTCTTTAGGTCGTTAGAGATCTTCAAATCCCGACGTAAATAAACATTTAAACCGCCGCAAGCCGAGTTCAGAGCTCGCTACAAACTTCTGAAACTCAAACAATGCAAACGTGATGTGCACTCATAAATTTACTACATACGCTACTTACGAATTTCGTTATAGCAAATTCGTCGAATGAAAAAAGCGTCAATTGAGTTGTTCATGCAGGTCCTCACGGACGGTCCGGACAAAACCTACATATTTCGACTGTATCTTCTTACTCTGGAAGAGTCAATCCGGGTTGCGAAACTGAGGGACTTCGGGGTGAAACAAGCTTACGTGAATTTGACTTTTTATCGTCCCATGAGGCTGCAGACAAGTGGTTGCCCAGAGCCGAACGACCTCCCTTACGCTGAGTGTATTAACTCTTGCGGTATCAATAATAAAAATCATAGAGAAAAATTTGATGTCAAAAGACAGGGCATTATGCATACGAATGAAGCGACCCGAATGCGGTACTACGTACCGCAGGGTAAAGTAACCGTCAAGAGGCCAAGAAGGAACCGAGAAGTAGATCTGACGATGTTGCAAAATGCAACACTGTATAGGATAGTAAAAAATGGCCAGGTTTAGTCTACGCGGAGCACTATACTGCTCAGCAACGTCAACTGAATTTGCAGGTCTCTTGACGAGAGATGCTCCCAACGTGCATTTTTGCGCGTTACTGCATATGCAAATGAGTTTTACCTCACTACCGTAAACTCGAAGTGGCAAAGCACATGTCGCTACGAGCTAAAGCCGACTATGAGAGTCGAAAAACACATTGCAACGCCAGTCGCTAGATGACAAAAATCTTACATATAACGAGCGTGAGATCCTCGAACGAGGTTGACGGTACGCCTCGCGACAGATGCATCCGTAAAAATGATGAAACTTGGGTTAGAAATTACGTAAGCAACAAAAGAAGTCCATATAATGATGGCTTCATCATATTATACAGAAATAAAAATGCATTTTAACCTTTATATACCGTGGATTAGAAGGTACTAGCCACAAGTCAGCTGTCGTCGACGAAGTGTCGACATGCCTGCCGCTTGTTTATCAAACAGACACCTGATGGACGTCATTACGCTCCCAGTACGATTTGGTTGTACTACGAGTGATTGTGATGGACTTACGTGTAATTCAGTTGTTGATGCAACTGCACACGATTACAATGTGAATTACCATCACATTGGAGCAAGTACTCGGCGCCTGCATTATAATTCAGGTTTCGCCCGATGGCTCACTACCCGAATAAGTAAAAAAGACCAATACAAGGGTGTACTCTTAGTGAAAAACACTTTGATAACTCAAGACGAGCAAGTACTATGGAATCAAGTTATGAGTTCAATCTTCCAACAGACTGTGGAAATGCATTTTTATAAGATAACAGAGATATTGAATGATATGGGTATTGACGGATTAAGCGCAATTAATTATACATTTGATCTCAAAGCACCTTCGAAGTTAAATTCGAAAAACACTCAGTTACCCTCGCTGAATCAAAAAGAGGTTCTAGCGTATCTGCGTAGTGGCAAAGTCACGCAGATCTGCGTACTCGTCGCCGAAGATGAGTTTGTCATGAAGTATCCGATCGACAATAGTCTTTGCCGAAAATGAACGAGATCTTCGCAGTTATTGTTGAACGAGGTTGTCTTTGATACAAAGACTTTAAATGAGCGATATACATCCCAGTCGTGGATATTGCTCAAAACAAATTACCCCTACAATGATGTGATGGAGTTCATAGATGCCTTTTTAGAAGCATTGCCCTGCAGTTTACCCAGAGACCAATGTACTCGTCACAAAATCGACCCGGAATCGGGTTCGATATACTGTGTAATGTATCAATGGCCACTTCCTCGTAAACCGGTATAATCGATTGACAAAATAACTGATCACTGGGCAACGGGCCATGTAAGGGAGTTCACCTTTCCACGTAGCTCTCCCACCTTCTGTTAGCAGAAGCCGCAGGAGGGTGGCGGATAGTACATGCTTTCAACAAATTGAATGCTGCAACTGTACTGGATCAAACACTAACAACAAGGAAGGACGTAATCATTGATTTTAGGTCAAAGAGCTATATTTCTCATCAATAGATCTGATATCAGATTCGATTAATTATTTTTGTGCAAAAGGGACATCCAATTTGCCACATCAAGCACCTCAAGCGGTATGCTTTGGGAGTGGCTAGTAATTCCAAAAGGGCTAATTAATGCACCTGCCACGTACATCAGATGTGTAATATATCGGATGAGATCTATATAAGAGCTCACGCCCAGCTCCTTCGATGATACGTTCTTCCAATGTCGGGCTAGAGACGGACGAACGGATGCAGAAGTGCACCAACTTCACGTCCGAAAGGTTCTTAAAGCAATGCGCGAGCATAATTTGTACACCAAACTCAAGAAGTTTGTATTTGATGCTAGCAAAATGCCACTTTTTGGTTGCATCGTGAGTAAGCATGGCGTCCGGCCCAATCCGAAAAAAAAGCAATCACCGTGGGTCACCGTTGTGCCCAAAGATGTCAAGAGACTTATAAAATCCCTTGGTCTATCGGCGTATTTGCACAAATATTCGCACAATTACGTGAAAATGACTTTTCATCTTTTTCGCTTATTGAAAAAGAATGAGAACTGTGTATGGGGCTCCGATTGTCAGCATGCCTTCAAGTGCATAAAGCAAAGCTGGATACGGCCCCAGATCTCTGGCAATTGTAGACCAAGATATGCCTTCCGTGTGGTTGTGATGTCGGTGACTTTGCAATCGGCTGCGTACTTATGCAGTTCGATGCAGATAATATGGAATATTTCGAATATCATTGGTCACATCCGCTACAACGAATATCTAGCCATTACCCTCTACATAACAAGGAAATACCTGTAATGGCGAACTCGTTGGTAAAATTAAAAGTCTATCTGCTAGGCAATAATCCCTTTATCGTCAAATGAACCGTGCGTCTTTACGCACCAACCAAAACAGTCCACACATCTCGCAGCAAATGGTGAGTTTCCTTTCATTCACTGCGGAGTACAACCTCAACGTGTAGTATAATCCAGGTCGACTTAATGTCGTACCTGTTGCACTCTCGTGCCGGCCCGATTTATGTTGGCTGCGCCACCTGAAACTGGTCCGACCACTGTTGCGGTATTAATATCGAGTGTCCCGTAGTCAAACTAATTGAACGATAAATAAGGTGTATGATCCAAAGATGGTGAGATTAAAGCCTCATCTCTCGCAACCTTACGGGATGTGCCGCAACCAGTTATAGATAGTATTAAGATACTCTAGGATAGAAATGCAGTTTATAATGGCTTACTACAATTTGCAGCTGTTGCCGGCGACACTTCTCGTGTCGTCGTAAAAATTTGAATTGTCTGCAATTGCGTTTCACGTATAAGTACCACGACGTAAAATTTGGTGGACATCGTGGTCTTGAGAAGACACATCTCACCGTGACCAGCAACTTTTTGGCCCCACCAAAATCAGCTCGTGCGCAAGTAAATTCGATCGTGCAAAATTTGTCAAAGGTGAAGTCAATTCCTTCCATTCAATCCCTGTTTCAGCCTCGGCCAGTCACTACGGATTACTGAAGACATATCTCAATGGAATTTGTCTTTGGATCCCTCACCGATCCACAAAAAACTGGTATTCTTATGTTTTTTTTATATTTTATCCGGATGTATATCTTGTTGCTTTATCTGAATCCACTTACCCATCTCTTAGTGCTAATTAATTCATCAAAGCGGTATTTCGCTTTCATAGATTGTCTCGTGAACTCGTGTCGGATCGGAATCCACAATTAACAGCTTTGTTCTGGTCCCCCTTGTTTAAACAGTTGGAACGTGCTTATGGATGTCCAGATCTAATCACCCTCAAACATATGGCCATACAGAATGTGTTATTCGTGCGTTTAGAATAGAACTTCGGTTACATTACGAATTGGAGTACAATCTTGCCGATCGTAGTATTCGCCATTTTTAACTCAGTTTATGCGTCTACGATGCACACGCTGTTTTTCGTGAATAAATTTCGCCATCTGCGTCTGCCCACCATTTAAAAAAAAGTAACTACCGTGTAAGGGGGATCCTTTAGGCGACCACCAATTCAACGCTAATTCTTCATGTGCTGACAAAGCGGTCACCACGTTCGACGCCGACGTCGGTCACCGAAGGTAAGAGCTAGGATGCTCACCATGACACTAATCAAATCAGCAACACGCCTAGTGCATTCGAATACACACCCACTGAGGCACAAAGTATTTTTTCTGCAGTACACATCAAAAGTACACTGTAGCTAAAGACAGAGAGCTAGCAGATGGATTCATTCTGGCTCGCATAAACCTCGTTCTTTACGTACAAGACTTTATCGCTGAGGAAACACATCGAAAAAATCGAAGCACTGATAAGAATGGTAGGGAGATTGTTCTTTCAAGCAATGAGGAAGACTTAGTCCTACTATCCACGGTTAACCTGCCAAGCCACATAGTGACAGCCACATATAGAAGCTTATCGGTCCATTTCGTATGGTGTATCTCCTAGTCGACGCATATACGATCATACTGCCACGTAAAAAGCGCACGCATCCTAAGGCGTACGTCTGTAACCTTAGAACGTACTACCGGTAAAGGGACTCTTTAGTTGAAGATAGTCCTAGAGATCAAGCATATTTAATAGATGTTTGTGTTCGCGATTGTAAATCTCAGCCCGCTTTTGAGGATCGGATATCTCCCCGCGAAGTCGAGAATGTTTTTGATGAGCTTTCATCAGCTTGTCAAAAAAAGAATGCTGTTTTCACTCATTCGATAGCTGGGAAAAAGGCAACTCTGTTATGTTATCCTCCACAATACAAACCAAATTAATACACCTGCCCTTCTCGTGTTTCCAGGTCCTTGCGCAACTCAGACATTACTCGGTTAAAATGCCTCACAGCATCAGGTTGGATCTTCAAATACGTCGGAAGACGATTCTTCATCCACAATATCCAATGGTTGATACTCGATGTGGTCTACGCGTCTTTGTGTAACGCCTGCTAAACTTTCACAATTTAAATTACGTCGAAAGAGCTACTTAATCCGGTGGCGCGGCTATTCACCTTTACAGAATAGTTGAAGGCATAGTCGCAGCTAATGGTGGACATGTTGGACCTTTTCATAGAAGATTCTTTGGAAAATAAGCGCCCAGGGCGTTCGTAGAGAAATCACAAATTGTCTATTCTCCGTAAATCTCCGACAAGACACGAGCCCTCTACCAGGGATTAGTCATTAAGCTTCTTTTAAGGATCATGCCAAGTTTTTTTATACCACATTGGCACGCATCACCCCATAAGAGGCATAAAAGTTCGATTATTATCGACAAGCGATGCAGCTTGGAATTTGCATCAGTAGAAGTGCGCTTGTTTAACCTGTCAAGAGATAGATTCAGGTTGTCTAGACAAGCATCGCATAAAGTTTCAAAAATATGCCTCCTATAATTGAATATTAATTTGCTCTACGTCCTTTACATCAACGCAGTGCACATTTACCAATGTTGTGCTTCGATTAACGACATAACCCATTGTTGTAAGCCCGAAGGGTGAAGATGTTAGTGACTGTGCGCAAGGTTGAATGCCGAACTTTTCAATCGTACTTATCGGTCTGTGCGTCTGCAACCCAAGCGGTTGAATATAATCTACACGTAATATTTTCATCTAGCCTGCTCCCCCCCATATGTATATAGCCGAGGTAACTCTAAAAGCACCAGCAGTTATTGCTTGGTACCCCAACATGGATTGTAGCCTATCTATTGAACTTAAACTAAGTGTAGTATATAATGCTGAGAGAACATACACTATTAAACAAAAAAACCTCCACTAATTAGCCACGGAAACGTCTTCCTTTTTAATTTTTATAACTTAAACGTCTATGTGACGATGGGCTATCACTTATACTCATCTGGTGGTGCTGCTCACGAGATTTAACCTTCAGTTGCTCCCGTCTTGGTCTCAATCGCTAGTCGTGATGTTGTAATTTATAACTTTGAAAAACACAGATGAAGACACTACTTCTTTTGCCGATCCTTTGATATCCCGTCCATCAAGAAGTTGTCAAGGTATCCTCCAGTCGGACCAGTCCGGAGTCAAGAGCAAGCTGTCAGCATTGCTTACACAAGATCGCGCGACATCATGCGCGTTCACCTCAGTTGCTCGCAAGGAAAATAGTATCATAGATTGTAGTGATGGCTGATGCCCTTGCAAGATCGCGGAGCGAAAAAGGTTGGCTGTTCATAAGAGCTGTAACGGGGTGAATCGTTACATAACAATTTATAAGAAATTGTTAATAGAATATAACTATAAGAGTTATATTCTCAGAATATTGTCATAAGGACAAATATTCTGTAGCACTTCCAAGTAGTTCCTAATTGGTTGATATAGGCCATTATATCAACCAACGAAGACGCGCCACGACAGACGCACGCAATGAGTGGTGAGCAGATAACTGATTTACACATTTGTATTTAGACATAGTTAGATGAAGATAAATAGGGATTTATTGCAGACATTAACTATTATAAATACAGTTCTACTTTTACTCTAACCGAGTACTCGCTTCTTCTTACCGTCTTCCTCTGCACGTACGAGTGTACGTGAAGTTACGAGGCACCGCCTTATTCTGTTATCAGAATAAGTAGCTTGTACTGTCACCAGTACAAGCTTCAGGGTGCCCCGTTACACCTGGTAGCACTTCGTAGTCCGTCCAAGGACCGCGTTCACATCCAACATGAATATGTTGGATGATGAAGATGACCAAAGCTTTCACGCTACGCGTGACGGCTACTCCCATTTGAGCGATGTCGAATGGGATGCGGTTGAACGAATGGGTTCGACCATGGGCATCCATGCTGTTAGCGTCATGCTAGAGGCTCTCAATAGAGATGCCCAACATGCTACTATCGCCAAGTTCATTCAAAATGAACTTGACGCAGAACGCGAGAAAGTAGCCTTGCTTCACCAACAAGGTTCTCAACAAGCAGAGTTGTTGAGAGAACAAGGTGCTCAACAGTTTGAACTGTTGAGACAGCAGCAGGCTGCTGCTGGCGGGTCGATGCACTCGCGTCGGCCCGAGACTTTGAAGATTGACATCTCAAAGTATAGGGGGGTCGAAGAAGACTCCCTCTTGAGATGGTTCGTCGAATTGGATGACGCCATAAGGGCGCGTCGCATCGACGACGGGGAAATACAAGTTGCATTTGCCCAGTCAAATCTGGCAGGACGTGCCAAGACTTGGGCACTGGGGCTCAAGCTGCACGACCCATACGCGTTTGGGTCGTTGGAAGTCTTCAAGTCGCGGCTCAGACAAACGTTTGAACCGCCTAGAGCTGAGTTCAGAGCTCGAACCGAACTCTTGAAGCTCAAGCAGGGTAAGCGTGATGTGCACGCTTACGCTCAACATATACGACATCTCACGAGTTGTATAAGTTCCAATCCGGTGGATGAACACACGTTGGTTTCGGTGTTCATGCAGGGTCTTGCGGATGGTCCCGTCAAGACTCACCTGTTCCGGCTTGAACTAGATTCACTAGAACAAGCCATTTCAATTGCGGAGCAGGAAGACTTCAGTCTGAGACAGGCTCGCGCCAGCTCGACATCATATCGTCAACCGAGACGATATGACAACGGCGGTTCAGAGCCGATGGAGCTCTGATATGTAGAGAGCGAGAAGGCTCGCTCTACAGACTACAAGAAGTTGCAGAAATGCAACAGATGTCGAAAGACAGGACACTACGCTTACGAGTGTAGTGCCCCTCGTCCAGTGTCTCGCGACACTGGGCGTAGTGACCGTCCACCCATGAGAAAGGGGCAGGGACGAGGGTCCGCAGTTGGTGAAAAGACGCAACAACGGGATGGACCGTCAAAAAACGGACAGGATCAGTAGGTGCGGAGCACCCTACTGGTTTAGCAACGCCAAGAGAATTTGTAGGCCTCTTAATGAAGGTTGCTCCCAACACACAAACGTTGTGCGTTGCTGCTCTAGGTAATGAGGTCTCACTCATTACCTTGAAACTCGAAGTGACGAATAAGTTGTCCCTTCGAGCTCTAGTCGATTGTGGGGTGTACAACAATTTTGTGCGACGCCAATCGCTAGAAGATGGTCACTTTAAATTCAGTGAATGTGACACACCTCCTACGAGGATGACGGTACGTCTTGCGACAGGCGCATCCGTAACCGTCATGAAGCGTATAGTGAAGATCCACTATACGCTAGAAGATACCCAATACGACGATGACTTTATCGTATTGGATTTGGATGACAAATTTGATGTCATCCTTGGAATACCGTGGCTCAGAAGGTACGAACCACGGGTAAACTGGCAACATCGGACAGTAACGATGCCTGCCGCTTGTTCATCAGATGGCCATCTGATGAACGTTTTGGAGCGTCCACGAGCGTGTGGATGTACTACGAGTGAGTGCGATGGCCTCACTTGTGGTACGGTCGTTAGTACGACTGCACAAAACCTTAGTGTAACAAACGGTTACACTTCGGAGCAAAGTTCCGGCGGCTGTGAGGAAACACAGGCTGCGCCGAAGGTCCACCACTCGAATAAGTCGGGTGGACTGGGACAAAGATGTATCCCTAGCGGGGAACATCTAGAAGAGAAACAATCGATCGCTCAGGTTAAGCGAAACGATAATCCTAGATCGACTGGAGAGTCTTTCGTAGAGGATCTCGCTGTGGTTGCGCAACCCCAGCTAGAGGAAGTAAAGGGAATAAGTCCCAAGATTACAAATACGGCGGAAATAAGTTCCCCGAAACCCGCGGGAATAAGTCCCCGGGAAGACGAAGGAATAAGTCCTTCGAAGCCTGAGGGAATAAGTCCCCAGGAAATGACAGAGACATTGAATGTCACAGTCAATAACGGATCATGTGTAGGCGCTTATACACTTGATCTGATTGCGCCTCCGAAGTTAACTTCGGAGATCACTCAGTTGCCAACGCTCGAACATAAAAGATTCTTGCGTGATCTGCGTAGTGGCAAAGTCAAGCAGATCTGCATACTCGTCGCTGAAGACGAGTATGTAACCGACATAAGGTCAGCAACAGTGTTTACTGAGAACGAGAGAGTTCTCAGTAGTTCATCTATGGACGAGAGTGTCCTCGATGAAAAGACACGAGTTGAGCGATATGAGTCCCAATCATGGGAATCGCTCAAGGAAAATCCTCTCTATGAAGATTTGGTTGAATTCAAGGATGTATTCCCTGAAACTGTTCCGTGCGAATTACCGAAGGATAAAGGTATTCGACACGAAGTCGAGCTTAAACCAGGCTCGAAGTACTGTGTCATGAAGCAGTGGCCACTGCCTCGTGAACAAGTACTTGCGATCGACAAGTTCTTTGCCGATCGTTTAGCAGCGGGCCATGTGAGGGAATCAACTTCCCCACATAGCTCTCCGACCTTCTGTGTGCGAAAAGCAACAGGAGGGTGGCGGATAGTGCACGCGTTCAACAAATTGAACGCTGCAACGGTACCGGCTCAGACGCCGATACCGAGGAAGGACGTAATCATTGATGGTATGTCAAAGAGTACCATCTTTTCGTCCATGGATTTGATGGATGGCTTCTATCAAATCCTAATGCGGGAACGGGATATACCCTATACCGCAGTTAGCACGCCTAGCGGCATGCTCTGGGAATGGCTAGTAATGCCACAAGGGCTCAGTAATGCCCCTGCCACGTTCAACAGGTGTGTATCACATCTGTTGAGGCCAGTACGAGAATTCGCGCCGAGTTATTTCGATGACGTATTCATCCATAGTCGAGCTATGGATGGAAAGTCGGACGTTGAGGTTCACAAGTACCACGTCCGACAAGTTCTTACAATCATGCGAAAGCATCAATTGTATGCAAACCTCAAGAAGTGTATATTTGCAGCAAGCGAAATACCACTTCTTGGGTGCATCGTTGGTAAGAACGGTGTACGTCCTGATCCCGAAAAGATCAAGGCGATCACCGACTGGCCCGTGCCGGTCGATGTCAAAGGTCTTCGAAAATTCCTTGGGCTAGCGGCGTATTTGCATAAGTATTCACGCAATTACGCCGAGATGACTGTGCACCTCTCTCGTTTGTTGAAAAAGAACGAGAGGTGGTTATGGAACGCTGAATGTCAACGCTCCTTTGAGGGTATCAAGCAGAGCTTGATACAATCCCCAGTCCTAGCAATAGCCGATCAGGACAGGCCATTTCATGTGGTCTGTGATGCCAGCGATTTCGCAATCGGCTGTGCATTAATGCAGTACGACCTTGAAGGCGTTGAACGCGTCGTCTGCTATCAGTCGCGTCAGCTGCAACCAGCTGAGCGGAACTATCCAGTGCATGACAAGGAACTCCTTGCCATGAAGTATGCACTCGCGAGGTTCAGAGTCTATCTATTAGGAGATAGACCCTTCGTTGTTTACACTGACCATGCGTCCTTACGCACGGCAGTGAACAGCCCGCACCTTTCACAACGAATGGCGCGGTGGTTGTCATTCTTTGCAGAATACAACTTTACGGTCGAGTACAAACCAGGACGACTTAATGTCGTCGCTGATGCACTCTCACGTCGTCCCGACTTTGAAACAGTCGCGAAACCCAACAGTGAGACAGTCACTGTTGCGGTTATGACGTCCTCAGTTCCATCTACAACGTTGTATGATGATGTGAGGCGGGCATACGCCCAAGATGGTGAGATAGTGAAGTTGTTGTCACATCTCTCCCAACCATCTCGAGAATCGTTGAAACGATTGTCGTCTGCGTATCGATCTGCATCAGATCGATACACTACTCGTAACGGTTTACTGTACTATACAGCCGTTTCTGGTGACACACCACGTGTTGTCATTCCAGATGATACTGATCTGCGTTTGCGGATCATGTTCGAGTATCACGATGCTCCTATAGGAGGACATCGTGGCCGAGAGAAAACATATCTCACGGTAAGTCGAGACTTTTACTGGCCCCGCCAGTATCAGTTTGTGCGAAAGTATGTTCGCGCATGCGAAGTCTGCCAACGAGTGAAGTCAAGTCCTTCACTGCGTGCACCTTTACAGCCTCTACCGGTTCCGGCTGAGTGCTGGGAATCCATCTCAATGGATTTCGTCTTCGGGTTACCCAAAGACGCACGCGGGAATACGGGTATTCTCGTATTTGTTGACAGATTCAGCAAAATGGTACACCTTGTGGCTGTACCAGAGACAATCACGGCAAGTGGCTGTGCTTGTGTCTTTATTGACACCATCTTCCGACTTCATGGGTTGCCCCGTGAACTCGTATCAGACAGAGATCCACGATTCACTGCTGATTTCTGGCGTTCCGTGTTCAAATCACTCGGAACGCGCTTGAAGATGTCAACATCTGATCATCCAGAGTCAGATGGTCAGACGGAACGTGCCAATCGTGTCCTTGAAGAGATACTTCGAGGATACGTACACTCCTTTAAGAGTTGGAGTGAGTTTTTGCCGATGGTAGAGTTTGCCATCAACAACTCGGTGCATGCGTCCACGACACATACACCGTTTTACGTGAATGGCTTGCGCCATCCGCGTGTACCCACCTTACTAGAGTGTAACTCTGGTTTAAGGGGGGAGGGACTCGCGCGAGCAAAAACCGATTTGGTTCACGCTCATCACGCTCTGACGAAGAAGTCATTGCGTTTGATGCCGATATCGATAACATCGATATCGAAGAAGATGATGCCAGTGAGAGTGCGGAAGCCCTCACTGAAGACAATGATCCCAGTGAGAGTGCGGAAGCCCTCACTGAAGAAAAGGTTGTTGTCGCTGCAGTGCGCTCACAGCACACTGAAGCTAACGAGTCATCAGATGAGTTCATACTGGCTCGTGAAACGGTAGTCCGTTTTGTGCAAGACTCCATCGCCGAAGCGGTGGATAAGCAAAAGCAAAACGCTGACAAGAATGGAAGGGCAAACACTCTTTTATTTAATAAAGGTGACTTAGTCCTACTGTCTACGGTTAATCTACCAAAACATGTAGTGACTAACTTGGGTAGCAGTAAACTACTACCCAAGTACATTGGCCCATTTCGTGTATTGCACCGCCTAGGCAATGCATACACGATCGAGTTACCACGTAAGATGCGAACGCATCCCACGTTTTACGTTGGTCGGCTTAAGCCGTACCATCAGTACGCTACTTCTTCCGATGAAGAACGCCCTTGCGCTCAAGCATCTCGCAGAGAGCCTTGTGCTCCCGATGGTGGGCATCAACAAGGGTCTGAAGAGCAGTTATCTCAGCCCGAGACCGATCAACAATCCCACGAGCTACCCTTAGCTCGTCACGAAGAGATGTCAGAGATCTCTCGTTCTCAAGCTGAGCAAAGGCAAACTCAGCTCGATGCTTCGAGGCAGTGTCCACCATCTGGAGACGCCTATTCCGCTCATGCTCGAGATCGTCGCGTAACCCTTGCGTTACGCGATCAAAGAAGCTCTCGGGAACACACCGATCCACATGATCGTGTGGAGAGCGTCTTTCCTCCTCCTCCACCTCCATTAGAGGACTCTCGCGGTGGCCAGCGCTATCTAGTAGAGCAGCTGTTGAACCACCGCGACGTGAACGGACGTCGGACGAGTTACCTCGTCCGGTGGCGCGGCTATCCCCCGTCCTGGGATTCTTGGGAGCCCCGCTCCCAATTGATGGTTGACGTAC